AAAATAACTTGATACTACATATTTCTGTAAGGTTTCTTCTGTGTCTTCATTTGTTCAAAGACGATAGTGCTGCAATGTTAAAACTATTATATTTTGTGATGAAATATCTTCAGATTTGTTTCGTGTCCATATTTGATTTAAGAGTTTTTGCAAGAATGATTGGCGTATTTAGCTATAACACAATGCCTTTTCCCTGTAAGATTGACATTTTCATTAAATCGGAGAAATAATTTCCCAACTATTGATCAGAGGGAGAATGAGGCTTGGAGAAAAGAAAAAGATCAACTTTATTTTAATGTTACAAGGAAATTAAATCAGTACTAAAATCAATCATTGAATTGAAAGTTCATTGATGTGACATTGAATGAAAGACGAATGGAGGATAAAAATACTTTTTGTCAAAGAACGAATACATAATCCTTTGAAATAATTATTAATTCCACAATTGGATAAAATACAGAAAAAAAAACGGAATCCCTAAAGAAATCCAAACAAGGCAAAATTTTCAATTTTGCAGGTTTCGTTAGATTTTAACCTGTTCATGGACGGTAGTGGTAATTGCAAGCTATCATCTACGCCCCCTTGCACCGGCTTAAGCAGAATGCAACATTTAACATGAGCAAGTTAACATCAAGGGTAACAGTGCTGCATAAAATTGGTAGTCAATTTATCAGAATTTTATTTTTTGCTCTTTATACGCAGGTTAAATATTTGATCAAATTATCAAATTTGCTGGTTCTAATCTTTTGTTTTAAGTTCAGAAGAAAGTAAGATTATAAGCAAATACAACTACCTCGCGTGATGAATGCCATATTTTCTGCAATATTTGAATGACATTTTAAATTATTTCTTAACTGTTTCCTATATAAAGCAGACAATAATTTAAATGATTTCGTCCCACGAGTTTGTACTTTCAAATGAAATTTTCAATTTCCTGAACGAAGATATTATTATTTCGGTTAACAAACATTCGTTTTTCAACCATCAATTTTTTTTTAATTTACAATTTCTATTAATTTTTCATTTTTGTTTATTCATTTATTTTTTTTGGTCTTGTTGTTGTTTTTTTGTAGCCTTTCGTCACATATTTGCATTATTATAAAATGTATTTGTTATACAAGCTGCTAACTGGATATAGAAAGAAAATAGTCTTGCTGATACAAATCTGTACATTCGCTAGCGCGTATTAGCAAGGCTTTATTCATTCATATATCACGTCAGCAATCTGTACATTTAATAAAGAAAACCAGAATACATAAAGAATACCATAAAGATATTAAAAGGTTATATGGCCCAACATAAATGGTTGTTCGAGCTGCTAGACAAGGGTTATATTGTATATACGAACTACATATATCAACGGATTATTAACAGTAACTTCCTTTATCAGAGAAAAAAAGTATTTCAACGTGTTTATAGTTAAAGGCACATAATGCCTCAGAAATCCCTATTTTTTATTTTTTAGAAATGTCAAAAAATGTGTTTAATAATGTTTTAATAATGGATTTAAAACATGTTAAATGTTAAAAAGCTGCAGACAGTAACTCTGAATGTGTAGCTATGTATCATTAAGGTAGCAAAACGTACACAAAGAAGTACTTTGACATAGTGTTAAATGTTGAATTCTGCTTAAGCCGGTGCTAGGGGGCGTGGACAGTGACTCGCACTTTCCATTACCGTCCATGAACAGGCTCAATCAAACCGAGCCTGCAACATTTACAATTTTGTCATGTTGGGCTTTCTTTAGGGATTCTGTATTTCTCTATTCCATACAAAATACTATTTCACTATAATTATTCTAATTGCCAACAAAACAAAAGAAGTAAAGATAGTTAATTTAAATAGCAAATGAGTATTTATTAAAAACTGTCACAAGATACCAAAGTTTAAAAGTTTTTGTGAAATGAAAATAATAACATTTCTGAGGCATAATGGGCCTTTAAGGTAAACGTCACGAGCGAGTTAACAAACGTGAAGTATTATTAAGACATTTGAAATGCAATACCTTGTTGCAATTTTGAAAATCCGATGACCTGCTCGGCGGGATCCAACAACAGTTTCGCAATGCCAAATGACATTATATATTAACATATAACATGGTGAACATTTGTTTGCTTGAAAATTAAGCCTGAATACCGTAGAAATCTTGCAAATGAAAAGTGGACACGTGCAACTTTATAGGCCTTGTTTAAATGTGAGATAAAGTTATATCTCTATTCAATAATTTAAATTTGGAAGCTAACGTTTCTACTTAAAAACGACAACTTGTATTGTCACCAGTGACATCTCTGTGGATATTATCCAAAGAAAAGCCAAAAAAAAAATAATAATGTTTTAAGTTTATTTGAATGTACTTTTAATTAGCAAATCTGTTTTTGCAATCATTCACATGATTGACATATTAAGGCAATTTCACATTGCTCTTGTTCCGGGAGATTGGCATTTTCATTAAACTCTCTAATTAACTTCAAAAGTATCGATAGAAAAGCATGGTTGATGAACTTTAATAAATAACCGCTTGTCTTGTAAAGGGGCAATGTTTTATTTTTGGTTTGATAGTAAAACACAGCCTCCGTGCTCGAGGGGTTAGAGTCGATGACTTCTAATCCAGTTACCTCTCTGGCGTGGGTTCGATCCCCGGGAGATGCTTTGGTAGTTAAGCGCGGAGGAAGGTAGTCTAGTACTGGTGTAACTCTCCAGGAACGATGGTTAGGAAACTACCCGCCTATATGACTGAAATACTGTTGGAAAAAAGCGTAAAATGAAACAAACAAACAAACTTGATAGTAAAATCTAAAATTCTATAATCCTTTTTTTAGATTATTACTGACATCATCAAATAATTATCATCATCGACAACAACACATTATCATCATCGAAATCAACAAATTATCATCATCGAAAACAACAATGATGAAATCATTCATTCATTCATTCATTCATTCATTCATTCATTCATACATACATACATACATACATACATACATACATACATACACACATACATAAACACGCACGCAAGCACGCAGGCATCATACATACATACATACATACATACATACATACATACATCAATTATTAAATTCATTCATTCAATAAATCAATCAATAAATCAATTATAACATTCATTCATTCATTCATTTCTTCTGCAGCAAAGTATGATATTGTAGAAAATAAATCAAATTTATTTGACATGGAAACTGTTAAAATTCTTAAAATAATAAGACAATTCATTATCTACTTTCAGTAATTTGGTTTTATAAATGATCAGTTTGAATAATTAATAAACAGGTGTTTCAAAACAATTTTTTTGTGTGTTTACTAAATGGGCCCTGTTTAAATAGAAAGTGTAAAGATCGCAAATCTAGACGAAAGATGAAAATATTGCATGTTCGTTAGTCGCTTACACCATGTTGTTATATTTTCATCCTCAAAGGATTGTTCAGCGTTCAGTGTTGGTGTCCCCCTCCATGTCCAGTCTGTTGCGTTCATTGAACGCCACCTTTCCTTGTTGATCTTGTTTATCATATTTTGAGCTTAAGCCAACGTCTTTCTTAAAAAAAGTGAAACTATTCAATTCAAAATCGTTCAACTAGGACATTTATGTTCTTACACGATGTGCTATGAAACGTCATTGTCATCATTTATATTTTTATGTCTTTAAAAATTATCATTCTGATTTATGTATTAACAATCGTAATATACTTATTGTTAGGTACTCAAATGTCACTTTGCTTGATGAAATAATTTAGCACTGTAAATATAAATTAGATTATTTAAGACGAGGACTTTGAAGAGAGTCGCAATCAGAGTATTAGCATTATTGTTGTAATGTCAGTCTTGATATAACTATAAATTTCAAAATTATAGATAATCGTTTCAAACAGTTTTCGTTGCGTAGAAATGTGAAAATAACACAAAGAGGTAATGAAACTTTGCAAGATCTTACCAACAAAATACGGCATTTCAACAGAAAAGCCGATACACAAAATGATTTTCTGGAACAAAAGCTTCTTTCATTATAATTATATAATTTATTAAAATTAATTATTAATTTATTGATGATAAAGATTTGATATACCTTTCTTTTTGTGTCGCCTGCTACAGAGTAATTGCGACATAGAGGGATCACTTGTCCGCCGTCTGTCTGTCCAGAAAAAGGCCAACCAGATATGGTGCTGATCATTCCTGTAAAGTTCAAACGAAATTGCACCATCAGCTTTTTTAGAAGAAGTTTTAATTATCATTATTTATATTCATTATCATCAATATGATGTTAGGATTCTTTTGTATAAGTTTCTAAATACAGTCATGTTGTGATATTAACGAAGGGAGAAAACTCATACTGATTCCTGATAAATTGTTTTAACGTTTTACCTACCTTAGACATTTTTTGATGTTTGATTAAATTATTTTATCTTTTCACAGTTTAGCAATACACTGCATTTAGTTGTCTTTTTTAATGAAAATTAAAAAAAATTTAAGAGCTTACTAGACAAATTGATCTATGTTACTAATAATGATCATGTTGTGTAAGTATGTACTAATTGATAAAAATATATACCTTTTTTGTGTCTCCTCAAAAACTACCGGTGCAATTTTTACTTTAAAAACTTTACAGGAGTTATCAGAACCATATCTGGTTGGCCTTTTCTAGTTCAATGATTTTGTCAGAGTTATGGCCCTTTTTTGTTTCTTAAGGTTATGTCCGCAATACTTCTCATATACTACTTACGCATTTTTGTGAAACTTTACACGATTGATCCGTACCTCAAGTACTTGCGCATACTTAATGGGTTCTGCAATTGAATGATTTTTAGCCGAGTTATAATTTTTTAAAAACGCGCTTTGGCCTGTTAATGATTTGCGTGTCTCCTGTATCTTAGTAGTTGCAACATACTACACAGTAGCCGCGACATACCGATATAGGGAACAATCTGGTCAAGCACACTTAAATTAAAACTGTAAATTGGCGACACATGTGATCACTGGTCGCTCTTGTTAAAAACAGAGACAATTAGAGTAACAAAATTATTTTATTATAACTAAAATTATAAAAAGATAAAATATCACCAGTAAGGAAGGAAGGTTTAGCAACCTAATCGACGTATATTTCCAGATGTCTTTTTTTTAAAGTGAACAGCAATTAATGTTTATAATTGACTATTATAATATCAAAGTATTAAAAAATGAAAAAATACACAATATCACAAGAGGAATTAATACAAATATATCAATGACGTAGAAAATGTGAGTGTAAGATATAAGTGTCTCATAGATGCCATGGTCTCTACATTTTGTACTAAGTCCAACAATTGGGTTTTGTTTGAACAAGGAGGTTTGTTCAGCTTATGAAACAACACGAAACGCTGCGACCTGAAATTCCTGTACTCATTGTTTGATCGAAAGAAAACTTGATTATACTGAAAAACACTGACTGGTCATCAGAAATTGTAAACGATGAATTCCCTCCGGTAGCAACTATGCTATTATGTATGTTTCATGTTGCATTATTATTCAGTACGATACCATTGACATGGACCCCTGGCCTATTTCCTTGCGAGAGTCTTCCCTTTCGTTTTTGTTTCAACCAGCCGACGCATACTTCAATAAGGAAAGCACAGAATCCTATAAAACCTCCGCCTGCAGCCACATAGAATGCACTTTGAACGTCAATTATAGAAATAGGTTTTGCTTCTGCAATTATTGTTCCTGCACAAATTTCCATAGACTTTGGCCACCACCTTCTTTTCCAAACTTGTAAAAGCCCAGATTCGTGAATCGAAAGAATTCTGTAAATGAACACAATCGTGCAATTGTCATACAAGAATGAAACGTTTACACACTTTTCCCATGATGTTACTATTATGACATTGTAAACTTTCGAACAATATACAAATGTATATCAATTAGTGTAACACTGTGAGAATAAAACCTTACATGCATGAATTACCCGACGTAAGGAAAAAGGTTTACGGACATCAAGTTTGATAAAAAATTGTTAATCACGTAGTTTTACAAAAATTTTGGTTTCAGAGTATTCAATTCAGAAAAGATTTAATACAAAAAAATGATCATCTATAATTCTAAAAGATGTATTGTCACCGACATTAATGATGCCATGACTATTTTACGTTGCAGATGTATTTAGCACGATGCCATTAAAATGATCGCCTAATCTGTATCATTGCAAAAACTCTACCTTTACTATAAGGTTAATTTCAGTTTTGTATATTAAATTAAATAAAACCTGAAATCAAAATTGTAAAAAGAATTAAATAGAATTTACTGTTTTGTAAATATTTGAACATGTGGTGAATTGTTCGTGAACCCAAACGCATATTTCAGGGGTAAAAACTTTTCTTTGATCATCATCAGCTCACAGTCTTTCGCCATCTCAACTTCCATGACAACAGTGTCCCCTGGGTATCAATAATCAAATAAACGTATACTTTTATGTTATCAAAACTTAACAAGTAGCTTTTTAAAAGAATAAAACAGTTTTCAATTGTAATCCCTTATTAAAAGATTGCGTTACAAGTTTAGTTACTTGTAACGGTATAATATAAACAAATACATCAGATTATTTTGTAAATCAGTATACTTGAAAATATACTTGTAAATAAATTTACTTTACTACTTCCAAGTATAATTTTGGATTTTGAAACCACATATAGAATAATACTCATAACTTTAATCAAAAGATAATTGAAAGATCATATTAATTTGAACCTTTCAAAAAATAGTTTAAACTATAAGAAAATTTAAACTACCTATCCAGCCATAGTTCCCCTTTTTTACTTTAGCCAGTTGAGTTTTAAAATCTTTTGCGAAGACAGAAGGGTCAGTCTCATTGAAATCCATTAGAGCATCACCAATACGTCTAAACTCTTTATTTTTTGATGTCTATGAAACAATAGATAAACTCATTAACTGATATATTACAGCCAGTGTCAACAAATAAGGGAAATCTGAAATATTGCAACTTCTCATCCTAAAAGTTGACTGTTATTTTATTTAAATAAATGCATCACGTGCCGCTTTTCTATAGTATAAAGTTTGACAATGAAAGTTGGATTTATATTACTCGTATAAACAAATATGCTGATGTTGCATTTTGAGTTATACGATATTCTGAAAATAAATATTTAATTCTACTCATTGCACAGCTCATGATAAAGACTAACTTGATAAGATAAAACGGTTCTATGAAATTATTTTGGAATTTAAGTTTGCTATATCCAATTCAGCGGTAATATTTACATTTGTATAAAACAACTTTCTATACTTATAACAAATGTAAATAGTTCTACCAATATGCTTGCATGTGCTCGAAATAAAATTAAGAACAGCACGAATGCACCTTTCTCATCAAGTTAAGTAGAAAACTCCCACACAATTTTTTATTAGTGTCTGTTTAAAATATAAAATTGAAATGACGATTAACATTTTTAAGGAAATATGCTTGCATGTTCTTGAAATAAAATTAAGAACAGCACGAATGTACCTTTCTCATCAAGTTAAGTTGAAAACTCCCACATAATTGTTTAGTAGTGTCTGTTTAAAATATAATATTGAAATGGCGAATTACATGTTTAAGAAAAGCAGCGTCCACCGTATCAGCTTCATAGTAAATAATTGACCAGACTTAAGTACAAACGACATAAAAACAATTCTTAATGAAAACTGCACATTATCGCAGCAATTAAAAGAGGCTACTTAAAAAGTTATATACTTTGAAAATATGTTCCCAGTTTGTTCCTTCTTGTAAACCCCATTTATAATCTCCTTTTAGATCAGCCATTTCATCTAAAGTTTCAAATGGTGGTTTATCCTTTGTAACAGTGAGGAAAGCAATTAGGTTTCCACAGTAAGTTCCAACAATTGGAATGTTCCTTACAATAACAAATTAGTTCCTTTTATCAGAACTTTTATAAAGAACCAAAACTTTTTATAAAGAAATGACTGTTAAGCATCATCTTCAATTTCTGATTATGATACAAGTATATTTCTATATTCAATTAATTGTCATCTCTATCACATTTGTTACATAAAGAAGATATTGACATAATTTAATTGTTTATTTTATATATGACACTAACATGTTGTACATACTGCATTTAAAAACACTAAGCCACATGGAATGAGAGTGCTAAAAGAAGTGTATGTTTAAACAAGATTTACATGGATACACATCAGTCTTCAACTTTGGATATATTTAACTGCCATTAACCATGACAAGTGTATATATACATCGTTTTGAAGTTATTCACACTGCCGAAAAATAGGCTTGATCATAAAGAGACTGATGTCAACTTTAAATGCATGTCAATAAAAACAGACGTAGGAAATACAGAATCAATCAATAGACTGTCCGTTTTTGGACATGTATTTTCCATTGAATTTTCGTTTATTGTGACTTAAATATTTGTTTCTTATATAAGTGTTTTTTTCTTATTTTAAACGAAGAAAGGCAGATCTGGACTAAAACAAACTGTTTCGTATATTAACTAAACATATTCGCTAGAAAAGTATTTGCTATAAGTGAAGTTAATTGTGTATAACTTGTTTACAATAATGAAGTGAAATATGCGTTCAGGAGAAACATCGTGAATTCCAACATTTACTAAAATTATGTCTAACAGAAAGCCGGAGGTTAAATTTAACATGGTAAATAAATTCACAAAAAATAAATGAGATAATGTTTCTTTTGACTTTAAAGGTAAACATGATCATCATTCATGGTATTCTACTCAGCAAAAATAGAAACCTGGCAGTGTATATTTTATTATTATTTTCAGGAAATCGATGACGGAAATGTAAAAAGATGCATGCACAACATTGATTGCATTTTGTTGTTTATTTATTATGTTTAAGTTTGTTAAATAACGCTGGTTCTAAGGAAAGGGTCAAATTCAATTTATCAATTTTGTGGCTAAAACGTTTTGACTACTTGCAAATAGGTTTTAATAATTTCATTAACAGTTTTAGAATGCATGCGATTTTTTCATTTTATTCAATATCAGCTGTGGTCACCTCTGGCTCTAAGTAATGCGTCAACGCGTCGACGCATAGAATCGACGAACGTTGAACAAGGCTATTTGGAAGATTGTTCCATTCCTCTATCAATGCATTTGTCAGTTGGAAGATATTCTGTGGGGCGTGATGTCGTCGGACATCTCTGCCAAGCATATCCCAGATATGCTCTATTGGATTCATATCCGGAGACATCGCTGGCCATTGCATGGTATTGACGTTGGCTGCGGCTTAGCGAGCGCGAGTTATTCACGTCGTGTGAGGACGGGCATTCTCTTGTTGAAAAACAACGGGACCGTTTCTTTGCATAAACGGAACAGCCTCGGCATTCAAAACTTCATTGATGTATCTCTGGGCGTTGAAGCCGGATCTTTTGTCCACCCATTATCCCGCCCCATACCATGACGCTTCCACTACCGAAACAATCATGC